CTTTTTCATAAAACATATGCATCACCGACCACTGTGACACTTCGGGGCTTCATAGCCAGTTCTTTTGGGAACGACTGAAAGCGCTTCAAGCCAATTTCTGGTGATAACATAACGTACGAGGATTTCAACAACTTGATTTACTGCTAGCATCGTGTTAAATGTTCCCTTCTGCTGGCGTTGGAGGAACTCTTGTACTGGTAATCGTCGCACATCTACACTTAACGCTTCTGCAAGAAAAGTATTACTTTAGTTCCGGTAATAATAATTCGTTTTAGCACATCCCGATTTCAAAAACACTGCGAAGAATACAGAGCAATTAAAGGGCTAGCTTTTCACGCACGTGAAGAAGAGAACATGGTTGCAGCGGCCTCAGAAAAGAGAGAATTACAGAAACTATCGGGCGAGGATCAGAACGGAGAAGAAAATGCTAGTCAAAGTGCTGAAATTATCAAGACGGTATGTATAATCGGTATGAAGACCGGTGTTTCTGGGATGCACCTACAAGTCGGGCTCTTCCATATCAGCCCAAAAAAAGGCACCAGCCAATACCCCTTGCTCCTGAATTGTACCATGTCATTTCATCGGAAGCTGTCCACGTAGTCATCCCCCTTCTCATGCGCACCAGCGATAGAATGAACCATGCAAAACAAACAAAATAAATAGAGGCGCACACCAGTGCAGTCGGTGTGATCATGTGTTTTGCGCAATTCCGTTCACCGAACGATTGCCTGCTAATGATTTTCACTGCTTTGTACTTTGGTCTGCGCAAAAATAGTTGAAATTTTGTCAGGTTCTTAAATTGCGGAATTTCTCACTGGAAATTTCACGCGCACGAGATAACAACTTTTCTGTCAAAACTTCCACGGAGTTGAACGTAGTACCTAGCGGTGCGCGAAGGCTGAGTCCAAATTTGCGAGGTCGTACGTATGTAGAGGAGATCATCTTAAAATTTCAGATTCTCAACTTCCGCGGTCTCCGAGATAATTTTCCCCGTCAAAAGTTCCACGGGGTCGTAGATGATACTCGGACGCGGGGGGAACTGAATTTAAAATTACAGGATTGTATGTGGACAGAAGACATTACCATAAAATTTCAGCTTTCTGGCTTTTATGGTTCCCAAGATAATAACTTCCACGCAAAAACTTTTACGAGGCCGTAGGTGACATCCGAGAACGCGGGAACGCTGAATTTGAATAGGCAAGGTCCAGCGTGGGCAGGGGGTCATTATCTAAAATTTCAGCTTCATAGATCCCGCGATTACCAAAACAATTTACCCGTCAAAAATTTTCACTAGGCCGTACATGTTAATCGCGGGCAGAGGAAAACTGAATTTGGATTTTCTGGGTAGCACATGGGCGGAGGGCATGCA